CCACCACGCCAGTAAACACGACGAACGACGTAAACGAATGAACAAGCTTTAATAATGAAACGTAGTCGCAAGATGGCCGACCAATAACAACAGTAATGAACAGGCGTCACTGGCGCGGGCGCGCGCGCATGACAGGCACAAATGTCCGCGGGCACAACGGGCTCGCTGGCGCTTATCCTAAGTACAACGTTTTGATTCGAAATTAATTCAGTGATCCTAGTCATTTTTTTCCTTTCGAGATACCGACTTGATGGATTGTGGCCTATCGGTCATGGTGTAAAACTTTTTTGTTTATCACAACTAATATATGGCGATTTTGTGTCGATGCCGCGTCAGTCCAAATCCGGGTCCAGAGCGCTTCCAGTATATTTAAGATATATCATAACACATTTGATTGATGATGTATTCAGAATGTGCTGAAACAGGAAGTCGCTAGGTTCGTTAGTTCTGCGTCATCGAAACTCATGGTACAATATCTGAAGGGAAGTTTAATTTAAACCAAAATACGTATGCGTTCATGGTGCAATCACCCAAAGCGACGGAACAAAAGGGATAGAGCACTCCGGCCTCCCCGTAGGGAATACTTGCTATTTCTATTTTAAAAGATAAGGCCAGACATGAAAAACAAAGTCTAGTCATTCCATGGTCAATTACCCTACAACATGGCTATCTTGAAACGCCCGCTATGTAGATGAAGCATCGTTTGATAGCCTTAGTGATGCAACGACATAAAAATTCTGGGGCGAGGAGGGAGACGGAAAATGGTAACTAACCGTGGCATCCATACAGTGTATACAGTATATAAACCTATAAATCTAATTAAATAAAGATAAACCTCTTTAGCTTAGCCGTAATGTTGTCCCATTTCAAACCACGTTTCATTCTCTAGCTGGAGAATAACATTCTTTTTTTATAAGAATTTGTTTGAGTTGCAGGGCCGTAACCAGGGGGGAGCACAGGGTGCGCGTGCACCCCCATAAAAGCTTAGGGTCCGCTCATCTATTTCCATTTGCTTTAAAATTGCATGTAAATGGTTTTTTTTTTTGATTCTGCAAATCATTGCTTGTACACCCCCCTGCAAGATCTCTGGTTACGCCACTGAGTTGTATGATAGATATTCATGTGTGTTTTCTATTGCGCAACCATCAAACAAAGAAAGGATACTTTTGGGAATGACAAGTGGTCTGAAATGGGAAAACATTACGCCCAAGGAAAGGAGGCCTATTGATGAAGGTCGTTGCATGCAAAGCCAAGCTTGATAAACAACATGCAACATGCAACATGCAACATGCAAGAAAACCTTCATCCTTTTTTTCTTAAAGTGCTACTA